ACCATAACTCTTTGGGATTGATTTGATTTATTGCTTATCAAAAATGATAAAAAAGTAACCATCCTTCAAGACAAAAATTCTACTAGTCAGTGTTTTAAAGGGAAGCATATAGGACCTTCTTTTAAATTTAAATATTTGTCTGGTCTTACAAGATTAATAATGATCACAGCTAGAGTTCTTATTGCACATATGTAGGCTATAGCTGCTACTCTATTTTTAATATATTTTATTTCTATGAGAGTCATGATAAGAGTATTTCTCCATCAGCCAGATAAGAAGCAACAAAGAAGTCATCAGAAACATGGCTTCTTCCAAGCCATTCAAAGGTGACTGCCAGTAAAGGGGTGTAGAGAGAGGTGGCCAGCAACCATTTGGCACTCACCAGTATATAGGCCAGATCTGCTCCAAGAGCCAGATAAAACTTATGGTTTTATCCATAAAACTTCATGATTTTATGATATGATTATATATGGACATTACTCATTATAAATTATTTTGAACCTACTGAATAAATAATAGTTTTGGTAAATTAAGATGGCAATCTTCTGTTTTAGGAACAGCACTCAGAGAAAAGATAAAAATAACACAAATTTAAAAAAAGCATGAAAAAACAAACAAAAAAACACATACACCAAAAAACTACAAAAACAAACCTTGTGAATCACTATCAATCAGCAAGATAACAACTCATCCTCTCATTGATTCTGAGCTGAAACGTTCACTTTCCCAACATGGTTATTCATTACATAGAAAATTTAGCACACCCAGAAAACATTTCCTTAAAAAGAAAGACTTGGCCAGCTGGCGGGGCTCAGTGGTTGAGCATCTACCTATGAACCGGGAGGTCATGGTTCGATTCCCAGTCAGGGTACATGCCCGGGTGGTGAGCTTGATCCCCAGTAGGGAGCATGCAGGAGGCAGCCAATCCATGATTCTCTCATATCATGAATGTTTCTCTCTCTCCCTCCCCTTCCTCTCTGAAATCAATAAAAATATATATATATATTTTTTTTTAAAAGAAAGACTTCATGGTTTTATGATATGATCATATATTGACATTAATTATAAATTATTTTGAACCCACTGAATAAATAATAATTTTGGTAAATTAAGGTGGCAATCTTCTGTTTTAGGAACAGCACTCAGAGAAAAGATAAAAATAACACAAATTTTTAAAAAGCATGAAAAAACAAACAAAACACACACACACCAAACAACTACAAAAACAAACCTTGTGAATTGCTAAAATTTGTATTTAGTGGGGTTAAGTCATTTAAAAAAATGAATCAATATTATTTTCTAATGGTTTACTTTCAGACACGTTTTAGAGAAAGGGGGACTTAAAAGAAGTCTTTTAGTCACTTAATTTCCCTCAGGATGAGTGTTTTACTCCTTTCGCTGTGCCAACTTCATGGACAGCATAATACTTTATAAATTGTCTAAAAGCAATGTTTTAAAAATATATATCCATGTGCAGAGTTTAAAAAATATACATCCAGCCCTAACCAGTTTGTCTCAGTGAATAGAGTGTTAGTCTGAGGACTGAAGAGACCCAGGTTAGATTCCAGGCAAGGGCTTGTACCTTGGTTGCAGGCATATCCTCAGTAGCGGGTGTGCAGGAGGCAGCCAACCAATGATTCTCTCTCATCACTGATGTTTCTATCTCTTTATCCCTCTTTTTCTTCTTTGAAATCAATAAAAATATATATTTTTTTAAAAGGGAGTGTTCGGTGGAAACCTTGCAAAGTGATCTGGTCATACATTCCGAACTGGACAGGTCATGAGGAATAGTTACTCTCCAAACCTATAACTTCTTTAGTGTAAGATTCTAAGCCAGCCCCGTTCATTGTTCCTGTGCATCTAGTTTAACACATCTTTGATGTTTTCTGTTTTGATTTAATCTTCACCCAAAGATTTTTTTAAAATATATTTTATTGATTTTTTACAGAGAGGAGGGGAGAGGAATAGTTAGAAACATTGATCAACTGCCTCCTGCACCCTCCCCACTGGATATGTGCCTGCAACCAAGGTACATGCCCTTGTCCAGAATTGAACCTGGAACCTTGAGGCTTCAGGCCGACACTCTATCCACTGAGCCAAACCAATTAGGGCAAAGATGTTTAAAATATATATATATATATATATATATATATATATATATATATATATATATATATATATATATATATATTTCATAGAGGAAGGAAGATGGAGAGATAGAAACATCAATGATAGAATCGTTGACCAACTGTCTCCTGCACACCCCCTACTGGTGATGGAGCCCACAATGCAAGCATGTGCGCTTGACTTGACCATAATCAAACCTGGGACGCTTTAGTCCACAGGCTGACTATCTACTGAGCCAAACCAGCTAGGGCAGATGTTTATTATTATTATTATTATTATTATTATTATTGATTTTAGAGAGAGAAAAGGAGAGAGAGAGAGAGAGAGAGAGAGAGAGAGAAAGAAATAGATATATAGAAGTGAAGGAAAACACTGAGCGGTTGCCTCTATATTCGCCTGCCTGGGACTTGAACCTACAACATGGTTATGTGGCCTGATTGACAGGGAATCAAACCCTTAACATTTTGGTGTACAGGACATTCCAACCAACTGAAATGCCAGTGCTAAAATGACAGAAGCCATGCCCTGGAATCAGATATTCACTCTCAAGAGAACCCATACTTTTAACTATCCTGTAATCCAATTTGCTTTCTCCAATTTTCCTTATATCCATTCCTTAATTTTCAATGCACAAACAAAGTTGCAAAACTGTCATTTTGGGGAGCATTTGAGATCTTACTCCCTAGCAAATGTCATTAGTTTGGCTTAAATAAACTCTTAACAAAAATTCTCTATATGTTTTGGACAATCCATCAAGCTTCAGCTTGAGTTAGAATGGAAAAAATCTTGGTAAATAATACTGGATTAAAAGAAAATGTGAAATAAACACATTTGTGATAAACCTATAAGTAAAATGAAAATGTATTATTTTATTTTATTTTTTTATTATTTATTTATTTGCTTGTTTGTTTACTTATTTATTTATTTATTTATTTATTTTTTGCCCCCCTTCCTTCTCTCCCATACATACCCTCCCTCCCCAGAGTTTTATGTCCATTGGTTGTACTTACATGCATGTATACAAGTCCCTCGGTTGATCTATTATCTCCCCCAGATCTCCCTATCCTCCCCACTGTAATTTGACAGTCTGCTTGTTGCTTCACTGTCTCTATATCTATCTTTTGGTTCATCAGTTTATAATGTTCTTTATTATCCATAAATGAGTGAGGTCATGTGGTGTTTCTCTTTCATTGACTGGCTTATTTCACTCGGCATGATGTTCTCCAATTCCATCCAGGTTGAAAATGTATTATTTTAAAGAAAACTATTGCCCAGCTAATGTGGCTCAGTGGTAGAATGTCAACCTATGAACCAGGAGGTCATGGGTAGATTCTGAACAGGGAACATGCCCAGGCTCTATCCCTATTAGGAGGCAGCTGATCAATAATTATCTCTCATCATTGATGTGTCCATCTTTCTTCCTTCCCCTCTGAAATCAATAAAAATATATTTAATAAAAAATAGAAAAGACAATAACTGCCCCAAGTAACTCTTGGATTAAATTTAATATGAATAATATGAAAACAAACAAACAAACAAACAAAAAAACTTTATTAAAAAGTTTTTTTCTTCTTTTTAATTATTAACTGGGTGAAAGGTGGGGTTCTGGGGGGAAAAAAACTTTGTAACACTTAATTGATTTTTAAAAAAAAATTTTGTTGAAAATATTACATATGTCCCTTCTTTCCATTGCCTCTATATGCGCCTGCCTGGGACTTCTAGCCCACCCTCACCCTTTGCCCAAGTCTTTACCACCTTATTGTCTGTGTTCAAGGATTATGAATATATGCATACAGGTTCTTTGGTTGATATGGTCCCACCCACTCACCCTCCCTTGCCTTCCCTTTGAGGATAATTTTCTTTGGTATACCCTCTCCACTTCCATTGATAAACAAACAAACAACTTTTTTTTTTTTTTTTAATGCAAGCACTGAATTTTGCATTTGATGATGAAGCAGTTCTTCAAAACAAAATGCCCCTCTAAATCAATTCTGATAGTTCAAAAGGAACTTTGAGCATTATCTAGAGCAGGGTTTAGCAAACTTTTTGGTAAAGGGCTAAACACACAATTTAAGCTTTGTGGGTAAAAGGAAGCAGAATTTGCTACCCCATAACATGGTCCTTTGACAAAAGGAATATTTTAGGAAACTGCAGACATAGGAGAATTTTTGAAAACCAAGAGTGCACAGTCAAGATGGCTAGGTGATTGAGCTTTGACCTCTGAACCAGGAGATGAGGGTGTGAAGTTTCTATTCTCCCTCAGGGCACATGCCTGGGTTGAAGGCTTGATGCCCCCAGTAGGGGGTGTGCAGGAGGCATCAGATCAATGAACCCTCTCATAACTGATGTTTCTCTCTCTCTCCCCCTCTTCCTTTCTCTCTGAAATCAATAAAAATAAAAAGAAGAGAAAACCAAGATCAAATTACGTTTCCTTAAGAGACATTTATATTTATAAAGCAAATCTCCATTTGTTACCCATTGTTAACACACCTTTGCTGTTGTTTTATTTTGTTAAATCTTTATTGCTGAAAGTCCCCTTTTCCCCTTCATTGAACTCTTCTTGCCTGCCTCTACTTTCTCCCCAGATCTTCATAATCCTGTTATCTGTGTTCATGGATTAACACACCTTTGAAAAGCCTCTTATTTTTAGATCCCCTCATAAGGGTGACCAACTTCAAGTGAGCACATAATCTTAGCTACCCTGTAATGACATTTAGAGATTTCCCCACCTTACTTCCCCCTCCTTTCACATAATCTTTACATAACCCCCTAAGTTCTACTGTATTTAAAGGGATGCAAACTTCTCTACCAACTCCAGTTGGGAGGCAGCTCCCGCCTGGCTCCCTGCTGGTGGGTAGGTGCAGGCAGCGGACATGGCCCCCAAAAGACCCAGAGGAAGTGACAGGCGTAAGAGGACACAGTTCAGCGAAAGCCAACTTCAGGTGCGCTTTTATTATTTATATATTTTATTATTTATTATTTATATGTTATTTTATTATTTATATATTTTATTTTATACAATAAAATATATATTTTATTGTTTTTTTTACAGAGAGGAAGAGAGAGGGATAGAGAGTAAGAAACATCAATGAGAGAGAATCATCCATCAGCTGCCTTTTGCACACCCCCTACTGGGGATGTGCCCACAACCAAGGTACATGCCCTTGACCGGAACTGAACCTGGGACCCTTCAGTCCGCAGGCCGATGCTCTATCCACTGAGCCAAACCGGTTTCGGCTTTTTTATTTTATTTTAATTTCTTTATTGATTAAGGTATCACATATTTGTCCTCAACTCCCCATTCCAATACCTCACCCCCCAACTGTAGGTTCTTATCAAGGCCTTTGAGAAGGACCAATACCCTGACATCACTGTCCGAAAAAAGCTAGCCAAGCAGATCCAGATTCCTCACTCCAGAATCCAGGTGTGGTTTCAGAACCGGAGAGGGAGGCAATCAAAGAACTCCAGGAGGAGGTCCGGTGGGGAGGTAGACGCTGCAGCTCCCGGATGCTGCCAGGGTGCATCCCCTGCCTGCGGCCACCAAAGCCTCCAGGGCCGTTCCCCACCACGTGGCTCCGGCTTCGGAACTCTCCAGAGCTACCCCGACGACCAGCATGCTTCTGGGTCAGCAGTGCTCCGGGCGCACACTGGTGTGCTGGGCGCCAATGTGGCCTCTCCCGACCTGGAGCCTCCAGCCCAGATACTGGGGGAATCTTCTGGGAGTTCCCATCACTCTTCGTCTTCGGGATTCAGCCCTTCAGCTATGGGTGCATTTTATGCTCCCCAATACACCTTCCAGGAAGCAGCTGGTGGCATAGACACTCGTCTGGGGGACCCCAGGTCATTTGTATATGAGGCCTGGGCCCCGCCAGGGCAGGTGCAGTATTTTCCTTCTGATGAGCAGCAGCCATGGGGGGCTGGCAGCCTCTACCTGCTCGCCAGCAGCCACCGCCCCAGCAACCTGGAGCCTGGATGCAGCCACCCCAGCCCCCTTCAGTCTGGGAACCCAGTCTGGGAACCCTGGCTGGATCCTGCTGGGACCACAGGCCTCCAGGGGGAGGAGGAGACCTAGCTGTTTGGCTCAGTGGACTGAGCCATCCCAGGATAGATTTCCGTCAAGGGCTTGTTGCAGACTCAATCTTGTAGGAAGCAACTAATTGATGTGTCTTTCTGACACTGAAGTTTCACTCTGACTCTTCCCTCGTCTCTTCTACTCTCTAAAAAGCAACGGAAATATATCCTGGGGTGAGGAGTAAAAAAAAAAAAAAAAAATCACAAAGAAAAAAAAGTGTCCCAGATGGGCTTTTTATTTTTATTTTAAAGGATAAGGTATTCTGAGGTTTCTAGCTGGACCTACAAGAAGTGAGGATTAAAAAAAAAAAAAAAAAAAAAAAAAAAAAAAAAAAAAAAAAAAAAAAAGAGTCCTGGATAAGAAAAAGATACATTTTGCGGAAAGACCAAGGGCAGGACACGCTGATTTGTGATTTGTTTGCTGCGTCCGCCCGGACCCGGACCCGGACCCCGTCCTCCCGGAGTTTGCAGCAGGACCATCGGCTGCCCCGGGAGCAGCCTGCACTGTTTGCTGTTGGTGACATCTCACATGGTCGGCCACCTTCTTCTTGGACCTGGAGCTCCAGAAAGACAACTGCAGGCCCTCCCTTCCGCTTTCCAGCTGTCTCGAGGGCGTGAGAGCAGAATTTCCAGAGTGACCGACCGCTCTCCCCACCGCCTGCAGGATCGGGATGATGGGTGAGCACCGCATGCCTGGGCAGGGGGCTCCGGGGGGGCAAAGTGGGGATTTTTTTTTTTTTTCCCTTGCAGTTCTGCCAGGAATATTCCTGCGGAGTCCATTCTCAGCTCCAGCAATCCCAGTCCTTTCTCTTAGGTTGAATGGAGCATTTTTGTGTGACACAGGAAGTAGTTTTGCTGTCTCTAGTCTGGGCAAGCCAGACCAGGCCCGGGTGGCAAGGGACCTCAGCGGTCCTTGGCTGGTCTGCTGTGGGAGAAGGCATTGCTCTGCTTCAGTGATTTTGTTTTTTTATTTATTACTTTCTTTTTTCTTTTTTTTTTTTCAGAGAGAAAGGGAGAGGGAAAGAGAGAAATCTCAATGAGACGGAATCACTGATTGGCTGCCACTTGGTGAACATCTGGGACTGAGCCAGCAGCTCGGCCTGTGCCCTGACTGGGATCCAACTGGGATTTCCTGCTTCAACACAACCACTGAGCCACGCCGGCTGGGCTTTTTACTTTTATTTGAAAAGCTGAGGTTTCTGTCTGGACAGACACGAAACATGGGTGTGAAGCTTTTGTCTGAGGGTTGTGGGAGCCCGCAAATACTGTGCTAGTACATAGAATACCTCTGTGGATGGTTGCTTTGTGTCTCTTCGTTGTTTGGTTTAATTTGGGTAACGCAGGGATAGACCCCATTTGGCTGGAGGGCTCCAACTGCTTGCAGCTGGTTGAACCCATGGCCGGGATTAACTTTCCCAGCAGCTGCCGGGAGTTCTTTATCTCCAGGAGTTCCCTGTCCTTCCTCTCCAGGTGTCGCAATGGTGGTCCCTAATGCTTAGCTAGTGAGAGTTCTTGTCCGCCTGTAACGTAGCTATGGTTACAGATGTTCTTGGCTTGCTTTCTTATCTTTTGGAGACTTGGTTTGCTCTTCACTGTTTTATGAACACTGGGAATCCTCCACCTCTGTCTTTTGGGCTCTGTGCCACTCAGAGCTTGTGAAGGTAATTTGCCATACAGGTTGGTGTGAGATGAGATTCTAAGGTTAGTGTCCCAGTCCCTTCCTTTTGAGAATACTCGTTATTTTATTTTATTGTTTTATTTTAGAGATTGTCTTTATTTCTGTTTTAAAATGGGAAAATATCTCTTCTTTTTATGCAACATTTCATGTCGTTACATCAGAAAGATTCTTCTCAAAGAGAAAAATAGGGGAAATACATATTTTACCTAACCTCCCCACCACCACCAAGTTTTTCAACAGCCTCCTAAAGGTTGTCAAGATTATGTTATCCCTGTTATGAAATTTGCCAGGAAAATGCCTTCAGTAATAATTGACTTTACAATCTCATAGAGAGTTGTTAAGACATAATGAACAGATATAACTAAAATGAAAGTTTTTGATAAAGTTTTACAATATAATTATATTTATTTAACCATAGTTTTCCAGTCTTTGGTAACTAAGTAACTTAAAACTTTGGAATCCTGCTGAGTTAAATGATAAAAATTATTTAACTGCCTAGGTATTTTGAAATAGCAGCCCAGCCAGTGTAGGTCAGTGGTTGAGCATTGACCTATGCCCCAGTTGTGGGCTCCAGTCCCAGTGGGCATCGTGCAATAAGTTCTTTCTCATCATTGATGTTTCTGTCTCTCTCTCCCTCCCTTATTCTATGAAATCACTGAAAATATATTTTTAAAAGCAAAAAAAAAAAAAGTTATTTTAAAAGAAAAGAAATAATAGCCAATTGGCTTGGAGATCAACACTTCCCAGTGAAACCAACAACAAGCAAGGCTTAACAACAAGACTGCACACACATCCCACAAAGGGCTACACCAAGACTGTCCACCTCAGGCAACTGGGAGGCTGACTCACTGAACCATATAGGACACCATAGCACACAAAGCCACCCTACCAACTCAGGGAAGCTGTGAAAATGCCAAGACAAGGAAATGGATTACAAACAAAAGAAATGGAGGAAAAGAAGAGACTGGATATAGAGTTCAAAACCACGCTTATAAGGTTTTTCAATAATTTCCTAGAAAAGGTCGATAAGATCTATGAAGAGATGAAAAGGGATCAACAAGAACTAATAAGGGATAACAAGAAATAAAGAATACATTGTCTGAAATAAAAAATATTATACAGAGTCCTAAAAACAAAATTGAAGATCGAAAGAAACAAGTCAAAGATTTGGAACATAAAGAGCTAGAAGACACTCCTCTGAAGAAGCAAGAAGACAAGAGAATCCAGAAAGTTGAAGATAATGTAAGAAACCTCTGGGACAACTTCAAGCGAACCAACATCAGAATTATGGGGGTCCTAGAAGATGAGAGAGAGCAAGATATCGAAAACATACTGAAAGAAATAGTGACAGAAAACTTCCCCAACCTGGTGAAAGAATTAGACTTACAAGACCAGGAAGTGCACAGAACTCCAAACAAAAGGAATCCAAAGAAGACCACACCAAGACACATCATAATTAAAATTCCAAGAGCAAAAGACAAAGAGAGAATATTAAAAGCAGCAAGAGAAAAGCAGGTAGTTACCTATAAAGGAGCACCCATACGATTGTCAGCTGATTTCTCAACAGAAACCATGCAGGCCAGTTGGGAATGGCAAGAAATATTCAAGGTGATGAATAGCAAGAACCTACAGCCAAAAATAATCTACCCAGCAAAGCTATCACTCAGAATCGAAGGCCAGATAAAGAGTTTCACTAATAAAAAAAAAAGCTAAAGGAGTCATCACTGACAAACCGGAATTATATGAATTGCTGAAGGGGGTTCTTTTGAAAGAGAAAGTAAATAAAGATAAAAACTATGAACAACAAATACCTAAATATTAAGTGAATCTAAAAAGCAAGGGAATTAAAAAAAATCTGATGACAATATTAATTGGTGAATATAATGGAATCAGAGGTATGGAAGGGGAGTGGACTGATGATTCTCGGGGGAAAAAGGGAGAGGGGGGGGTGTGGGAAGAGACTGAACATAAACTCTGCACCTAAGGATGAGGACAATGCGGGGTGGGGAAAGGACAGAGGGTGGGGTGGGAACCTGGTGGAGGGGAGTAATGGAGGGGGGGGGGATGAGGAATATTTGTAATAATATGAACAATAAAGATATACATATAAAAAAAAAGAAATAATAAGATACTATTTTCCCCACCCAGCCCTGCCCCGCTCTACCCCACCCCTCCCTGCCCCAACCCACCCATGCTTTCCCTCTGACAGCCACATTGCTTTCCAATTTTAAAAATACCATATATATTTTATTTTTTACAGAGAGGAAGGGAGAGGGACAGAGAGCTAGAAACATCAATGAGAGAGAAACATCGACTAGCTGCCTCTTGCACATCCCCCACCAGGGATGTGCTCACAACCAATGTACATGCCCTTGTCCATAATCGAACCTGGGACCCTTCAGTCCATAGAGCAATGCTCTATCCACTGAGCCAAACAGGTTTCGGCAGCTTTCCGATTTCCCTCCCTCTTCCTTCTAAGCTGTCTTCTGTCTTCACTCCTCCCTCCTTTAGTGTATGCAAATTAACCGCCATCTTTGTTGGGTTTATTTGCATACTCTCTCTGATTGGCTGTGGGCCGTAGCAAAGGTTAGATCAATTAGCATTTTTCTCTTTTATTAGTGTAGACAAGTGAATCTAAAGTAAACTAAATAATTTGTTTGCTTCTGTTCTAGTCTGTGGATGAAAAGGGGCCACCTGCTAACTTGACAAGCTCAGGGAAGGCCTGTATGGCAGCCTTGCAACCACTAAGGATAATTTGCAATTAAAACCTTTCATTAAAAAACAGTTTATAGCCAAAACCGGTTTGGCTCAGCCATAGAGCATCGGTCTGCGGACTGAAAGGTCCCAGGTTCGATTCCGGTCAAGGGGATGTACATTGGTTGCGGGCACATCCCCGGTAGGGGGTGTTCAAGAGGCAGCTGGTTGATGTTTCTCTCTTATCGATGTTTCTAGCTCTCTATTTCTCTCCCTTCCTCTCTGTAAGAAAATCAATAAAATATATTTTAAAAAACAAACAAAAAAAAAAGTTCAGTATCTTCCCTGATAAAGATCAACTGAGTGTATTGTTTTTTTCTCATTTATGTTAATTTGTAATTTCCCTTTTTCTTGCAGCGCACAACAATGCACTAGGGTGGAGACTAACTATCCTGTGCCCACCTATGGAAAAGAAACATGTGTCTATCTTTTACTTTATTCATTGTTATGTTATCTTGTTAAATAAAGGCCCTGTGCATGAAATTTGTGATAGTGGATATGTGTGTGTGTGTGGGGGGGGGGAGGAGAGGTGTCCCTTAGCCTAGTCTGTACCCTCTCCAATATGGGAT